CCACTGTAAAGGTCCTGAAGACACATAGTTTTGGCAGGAAGAGAGCACCACATTGTAAGTCCTTGGTTAACTTTGAAATTGACATTAAGTTAACTTAAAGTCAGAACATACAACACATTTTCCAATTTAGTATCTGCTGAATCTGTGTAACATCACTACTGTCTCCATTTGGTAATCTCACTTTTTCCCTTTTACAACTATCTACATTCTTGACATCTTGTAGTAATTCTAGTGAAGATGCTATGTGGTGTGTGGCCCCTGAGTCCACTATCCAATTGTTATTATAGACACTTGAGGCAAGAGATACATTATTATCTGCCATGTTTGCTTGTGTTTGATTGTCAACATTTGAATCCTTGTTGAGCAAGTGAAGTATTTGCTGGTACTGTGCTTCAGTAAAGAAAAAATCTCCTTTCTGTTGTGCTGCTCCCTGTGAATTGGAAGTCGATGGTCCTTCCACATTGTTGACTGCAGTGAAAGGTCCTTTAGTCATATAATCTCTAGTCTGATGACTCTTTTTCCCTTTGCAATCTTCAGGATAACCAATGATTTTGAAACAATTCTCTTTAGCGTGGCCCTTCATATGGCAATGCTCACACTGTAGGAATTGTTACTTCCCTCGAAAACCATGACCTCTTCCAACTTGCATTGCCATAGTATCCACCTTTTCTGCCATTGCACTACCACCCATAGACTATTGGCTTTCATCTTGTGTGATCATAGCATATGCTTGGTTGAGTGTAGGTTCAGTCGTCTTCATCAAAATCTGTCTTCGAGCTTGGTCATAAGTATCATTCAAACCATCCAAAAACTGCATCAGCCTCTGTTGATGCAGATGTACAATATATTCCTTTGATTTCACACATCCACAGTCCGGAGAAGGAACAAGCACATCATATTCAGCCCATAACTCCTTCAGTTTTGTGAAGTACATAGCAACAGAGTCATATCCTTGTGACAACCTCGAGATTCCTCTGTGCAATTGAAAGATCCTCACGTGATTCACCTTATCAATTCGCTCCTTAAGATCTTCCCACACTGCATGTGCATCTGATGCATAAATGATTCCACTCAGTAGATCCTTCCACATTGAGTTCATAATCCACGAGTACACTATCGCATTGCACGTCTCCCATTCCTTATGTAGATCATCTTCAAATTAAGCTTTAATGCACAATATAGTAATGAACCCTAACTTACGCTTTGCTTGAGAGCGAAGCGCATAGATCTACTCCACAGGCCATAATTCTCAGATCTTGTGAGTTGAATTGGAATTAACACCAGTCCTGGGGTGTCGGAAGGTTGCAGGAACAAAGGATGAGTGTAATCGATTTTCGTCTTCTCCGCCATTGATGTGTGATCTCAAATTCAAATAAAACGCAAAATCAAAGAAAAAACAGTAACAAAATCAACCTAATTTTGCAGAAATTTCATCAATCTGCTGGGAAATGATGAACACAGTGATGAACTTCAATTTAGCAGATATTAAGAGAAGATTTTACTGAATTGAGCCTTTGCATCCATGAATCGTCCTCAACAGCTCTGATACCATGTTAGCAGAGGAAGCCTGGAGAAGAATTTCTGGAATTGAAGAATAGCTCAATGAGCTAATTGAGTACAAGACTACCGACTATATACACCTCTAACTAACAATTAGTCACTAAGTAACTAAATTAACTCTAACATACCCTAACTTCTAACATGTACATTTAGGTCCCCATATCTTAATAACTTCTATATACTTCATTAAACTATATATTCCAATAGTTTACCATTATAGCACTATGTTACAAACTATGTCAATATTTCTTATCAACCCCTATATCGCATAAAAAATGTTTTTTTTCTTTTAACATTGTTGTTCGGACAGTTTGCATGCAATTCAACAAGTTCATCATTGGATATTCAATATCTTTCATCAGTATATATATACATGACTAAAAAATTAACTTTATTTATCACGGCTTAGACATATGAAATGACTTTGATCATGCCTCTTTTTGGATATAAACAAGAAAGAGAATATTCAATTACTATAAGTTGAGGTAGTGAAAACAATAATTTGTACTTGTCAAGAGATAAAATTATGCTAAATTTATCTAGTATTAACTAGATTGGTACAAGTACGAGGGAGAGCGAAAGAAATTAAACCACCTTGAAATAGTAGTAACCACAAAGCTCAATAAGAACAACGCTCGATGAATAGATGAATAGTAGGGGTCTTTATAGGGGACAATTCTGTGTGTTTTTGACATGTAAGTGGAGTTTAACAGATATTTTTTTAAAAGTTTTTTCGGATGAATTAGGTGAGTATAAAATAGCTTTTTGGGGATTAGTGCTTTCAATTATCCAATACGACAAAGACAACCCACCAAATGCCATATTGAAATTTGAAAGGACAGTGGTGGAAGCTGATATAGTGAAGCACTATGCTCTCCTTATCAATTTGATATTAGCAATTTAGCATATCATTGGTAGATAAATTCTTTCGATTTGTTCATTTTGAAAAACAAACCATCAAAAATTGTGGTAAAGTAGTAAGTACTCTTTCATTCTTAATTAAAGATTGCGAGTTCAAATCCTGAATATAAAGTCGCCTTTAGTGAAGAGCGCTTTACTCTCAAAGTGAGACTTTCTAATACGAATTCGAATTAATTAGACTCAAAAGCGAATACCAAACACCGAGTGGGGGAATAAGGGACCAAAAAAAGCTACTTGCTCCTCCTACCTGAATGGTTAGCAACTTGTCAATTGGCTATTACATTGTAGAGAATAATAAATCAAAATAAATGGTGCTCGAGAAGTATCCGGCTTTTCTCAGTGAACATTATTGTCCATGCAATTTTATAATGAAATCTTAAATCTTTTTAAGATTTCATTTTAAAATTGCCTGGACAATGACGCTCACTGAGAAAAAAAGTGAGATATTTTTCCAATCTAGAACTATTATTCTCTGAACAATACATATAATAGCCAATTTACAAGTTTGTTCCATAAATTTAACTTAAACGTTCCGCGTTTTATTTGTTTAACATTCTTTTAAACCCGGTTCATTTAAGAAAGAATGGCGTAGGAGCTCCATAATTTTTCCACTTCGACATCTTTCTTTTTTTCAAGTCCTATGGGATGCAAAACAAGTGTAAAGGTACTTTTGGTACTTTATGCATGCTAAATTTATGTGTCAGTTTTTTTATTTATTTGTTAATCACTCAAATATTAACAAATAAATTAGACGAAAAGAGTACGTAACGTCTTTGTAATCTTAAACAATGAATTGAGGAGGATAATAAAAGAATTCGGAGAGTTAATTGGTATAGATTTAAATATGATTAAAATATATATTTTCTCCTTAATAATGAAGGCCTTTTGCCTATAGTATGGACAGATGTAAAGGCTTTATAGGCATTGTTGAATGAATTAACTTCAGCTTAATTTTCTAAAATACAAGCATATTAGAATTATAGATTTAATAATAGGATAACAGAGACCAAAGAAAATGGTACTATTAAGAACTCGAAATATATAATAAGTCTCTCTAAGAGGAGAAGACCCATGGAGATTCCTGAGCAAATTTACAGAGAAATTAAGTTGTCGTGACAATATTTTTCAACATCAGAAAAATTTCTTGTATCACAAAACTGATTCAATCTATCAAAAGTGTACTTTAAATTTTCATCAATTTCGACCTACCGTTACATTACGTTTAAATTAAAGTATTAAACTGGTCTCCTAACACTAGAGTCAGTTGATCAGACTTTTCCTGTCCATTATACTTTAGAATTAGAAAAATCAATTGCTCCCCTCTCCGGCTTGTAACCATTTCAAAAACTCTCCCCCTAACTCATCACTATAGGCGACGAACGGACGGGTCGGATCGGATATGCGCGAATTGAAAACGGTAATGAAAAAACGGATAAATTATCCAACCCGGTCCATATTTAACACGGATAGAAAATGAGCTAACTGACTGATAATATGGTTCTTATCCATAATTGACCCGTCTTTAAAAAGTTCATTATCCAGCTCATTTTTTAATGAATAATATGGATAAATAACTGTTTTTTTAATCCATTTTGCCACCACTACTCATCACTAACACTCACTTCCAACCCTCACCTTTTTCTTTTCCATTCTCTTATTTTTAAATAGAAGTGCGCAACTTTGACTTTTAACAAGAAAAATTATCCCTTTATCCAACTGCAAAAGCTAAGAGGGTTTAAAAAATTTCTATGTACTACAAAGTCAAAAGCAATTGGAGACCTACCGCCTATTCGGCCAAGCTTTTTTGGGTCAAAAGTACTTTTTCTTAGTCAAAAGTATTTTTTTTCAAAAAATTGAGGTGTTTGACCAAGCTTTTGGAACGAAAAAAAAGTGTTTTTAAAGAGAAACAGAAAAAAATAGTTTCTCTCCAAAAGCACTTTTGAGAAAAATACACTTAAAAGCAATTTTTAAAAGCTTGACCAAACACTAATTGCTGCTCAGAAGTGCTTTTCAAATTAATTGACCAAACACAAACTGCTTCTTACCAAAAGTACTTTTAAAAAACGCACTTTTGAGAAAAAACACTTCTCAAAATAAGCTGATTTTTGCAGTTTGGCCAAAAAAGGCTACTAGTCTTGTCTGTTATTTGCAGTTTGGCCAAAAAAGGCTACTAGTCTTGTCTGTTATTTGCTTGTTTGGCTTTTTGACTTCTCGGTTTATCAAATCTTAGGATCCCAGGTATCATCACAAAGAGGTAACCAACAAATAATGCAACTATGGGGATCTCATTTCATCATAATTTTTTAAAATAAAATTCCAACAAGAAAGTGTACTAGAAATTGAACATCTTAACGTTAAAAAGAAAGAAAAAGAAAGTGTGCAACAAGGTCAAAAGTATGCACTCAAGAAAACATAGCTCGAGACTAAGGCCAAGCAACTAACTACTGCATGATTGGACTTCTATCCATCTCACTACACCAACTCACTGAAATGCAAATAGGGATCGGAAATAATCTAAATATTCACGAAGAATTAAGAGATCTTGCATATACCCAAATGAAAATTGATCCAAGACTTTCCACAAATTGAGATTTGGCTGTAGAAGAATCGACTGGTATTCGAAGAACAGGGGGATACGAAAAAGTAACAAGAAAGGTACACCACGTTGAACAAGTCTCAAGCACAAATGCACAGTTATAAGTATCTACACAAAAAATACAGTGAAAAATATTTAGCTTCATTTAGAGGATGTACCACCATCTACCATGTCTGTATTTTCACTGCGCAAACTGCTCTCTCTTCTGTACATTGGTTTCGCACCCTGAGAGAGCAAAAACAAAGAGTCTCCACATTACCATACAAAATCTCAAAAATTGATTGGAAAATATTTGTTGATGAAGGAAAGATAAGAAACAACAAATGACAAACTTTCTGCTCCTTTTTTTTAATCACTCAAATGGTTATTGATTTATAGTTTTGTCTATGTCATCAATGGCCATTCATCAAGATTTTTTCAATGGCCACAACCATTACAAGGAAACTACAATTTTGATCATTTTAAAGAAAATTCTAATGATTTTTTTTTCTGGGATGAAGGCATACAAGTTATGAACAGAAAGTTTAAAGCAATCCAGTCGTCCTGCAATGCTCAAGAAAATATCTTTGATCCACACTCACCTGAAAAATTGTCCCCAGCTTTTTCATAGCCCTAGCACGTAGCCTGAGAACATCCCTAGGAACATTGGGCTCTTTAAGGACCTACAAAAAAAACAAAAAGTAAACTTCATTAATGTAGAGGCTCCACATTTCATAAATATGTAAAGATTATTCTATTTGGTGCTGTAAGTTAGAGATCATTCAGTATATAGAATGTACAAAAGATAGTTCCTACACCTTCCCCCCCTTCCCCTCCCCCCCCCCCCCCCCCCCCTAAAAAAAAAGTGTCCCAAAGATGATGTAAGAATGTAGAAAAGTGAAATGCTCAGGACAACCCAGACGAGACAAGGACACTTAAGCAACAACTGGAGTTGCAAACCATGCTACACTGCAATAACGGATATTACTTTAAGTAAATTAATTTGTCATCTAATCTATTGGTTAGATTCACCCCTTCCAATTTGGAGTTGATCTACTTGAGTACAGCATTAATTTTATGTGAACAGCAGCATCTGTAGACTGTGGCAAGTCACAGGTAAATATATCCTTCAGCAATTCAAGCACTCAATAGAGAGCGACATAGTCAATGAGGATTTTTTTTTTTTTTTTGAAATAACATGGTTAATAAGGATATATAGAGTCGGCCCCCAACTTTCTTGGGGTTGAGGAGTAGTTGTTGTAATTCGAGCAACAATAGGATCCAACAGAGTTGGATAAGGAAAAATTGGTTGTGCTTACCGCTTGGCAAACACGTGATAAAGTCAACTCAATATCCACCACATTGATTTGCCAAAGGGATTTGATCATGATATCCTTCTTTTCTTCCATTGTTTTGATTGCATCCTCTACTTTGTTCTCCTCATGGTACCTCTTCTGTTCCTCTTGTATTTGAAGTAAAGCCACAGCCCCTAAACATAAACCAAAAGCATGTTACTGCTAAATGTTACTATGAACAGAAGTTGGAAAGAGCAAGCCTGTTCAATGTTTATCACCTGAAGCCGCCATTGCTTGTGATTTTATTAGGTGTCCTTTGTCCCTTACCCATTCTGCCAAATATGGCACCTTCATGAATCTTTTCAAATTCCCAATTTCTTTTGCAGCTTGCCTTGTGTAGATATAGCCAATAGTATGCAGCATAGCCTCACCAAAAGCTGAAAAGATGACCACATAAAGAATATATCATTTCAGAAACTGAAGGTCCTCAATATCTGATGGACACAGCATATAACATGACAACATCGTGTCATCGAATCAATAAGACAAATGTTAATAGCAGGTCCTATATCCCCAAATCATTATCGCCTCTAGCATCTGACTAGGGCTGCAAAATTAATAGTCGCACCCCAAAGACAATAAAGAAGTCAAAACAGATAAATCTCCTGATCTCTCCCTTTTCTTTTTTGATTGGTGATCTCTTCTAAATCTTTCCAATCCAGCCGATCAAAGCATTTGAAAAGCAGTGGAAGCAATGTAACAAAACACTGCCACAGGACAAGAAAGCAGCACTTGCGGCCTTCCGGGAAAGCCTTTGGGCACAGTCAGAAGAGAAGCTTTTGAACAACTCGATAGGAATCAAAGGGGAAAGTTCCAGTCATTGCCGTTCTAACAGTTGTAACAAGATGTGAACTACAGGTGTGGTTCAAGAGAATAGAAAATGCTAATAGGAGATATTACTCAACTAACAGACCTCTATGGTCAACGGCAAGGCTAAGAGAATTTTGAAAGCATCACGGATGATATCTTAAAATTTTGTTAGGATCTCTATAATGAAGGGGAGAGTTGGGGACTTGAGTATAAACCTTTTTATATCATTCCACTTTCAAACAAATTGGAAAGCCATTCTTAATGGTATCGGATGATGAAAGAAATATGGACTACATAATGATAATTGAAGGTGTTAAACGAGGGAGACAGCACGTGATGTCTGGGTTAGTCACACAGTGGGGGTAGAGGGGCATGCCAATTATCCACCGAGTTTCGAGCTGTGCATCACTGACTCTCGGTGATTTCTCTATTTCCCCCAAAGAGAGAGAGAGAGAGAGAGAGAGAGAGAGAGAGAGAGAGAGAGAGAAATGAGACAAACCTAAAATCACATGGAATGAAGTTGCCTCAAAAGATCTACCTTCTCTGTGAAATTGGCTAAAAACAGAACACAAGCGAAAAATCACAAAGACCATACCAGTTACTGTTAGTGTGGATTAAGGCTTAGTTGTTGTTACACTTACATTAGTTCCATTGTTTACGGGGTGTCTTTTTAGTTTGATTAGATGTTTGTATGTTGATGCAGGGATTAGTATGATTAGAGAACCTCTACCTTTAGAAAACCCTAACTGTCTCAAATGAAAAATTATTAAGTATCAGAATTCAATAGGCCCAAAAAGAGCAGAATACTTATAGTGGATTTATATAGCCGATGCCAACTAGTTCAGTATATAGGTGCGATTGATTGATTAACCTTTTAAAGAAACAAATAATGGACAAGCAGGTGAAACAATCTAACCAGCTTGAGCAAGAAGTTGCGCTTCTGATTTTGCCCATTCTAAAAACTCATCCTTTCGGCCTTCAACATATGGCTGAAGACGTTCTTTTAGAATTGTTGTCAGTTTCTCTACCCTTTCCTTTTGCAATTTCTGTAGTTGAAAGAGGATTACTTCAATGAACTGCAATGAACAATTGACCATTTATGAACACTGCTTGAAACAAGAATACCTTCAATTTCTCTTGAATATTCTGTCTACGAAGCTCAGGAACAACTTCGTCCTCCTCCTCTTCAACAGCTTGTATGGAAGCCAATCTAAGATCCCCAACATAATCAACAAACACATCACTTCCAAACAGCATTCCAAATACAGCTGCAGGGTGCATCAAATCCCTGACAAAGGAGAGACAACGTGAATACATAAAATAGCTTTCTCCGCCTGAATTCTTAAAATACGGAAGTAAACAAATCAGTATTTTCCCTATTATCTTCTCAACGTTGATTCCACAAGATCACTGTTGATTGTCAATTTACTGACTGCTGGCACAAGTAGTAGACTCTTACTAATTTTTGCAGAAAACGATTAAGTAAGAAGTACAACAAAAATAGTTTGACAATTCAAAGAGGGCCACAAGAAACGGATGTAGCTTTAAATAAAAGGGGCTAACACAAATGAATTCAGGTTTTCCTATTGCATACTTACTTCGGCATGTCTTCTTTACCATATTTGTCATAAATTTCACGTTTCTCGGGATCGCTCAACACCTGATAAGCCTCTCCTAGAACCTTCAAAAGTGAACAATAAGCAGAAAATGAGAGAGTGGCAGAGGAAATTATAAAAGAAGTTTTAATGACATCACTCCTACTCATACAAGCATTCTCTCCATCTTTTAATTTGAAAAGCACTTTTAGTCATAGGATGTTTGAAACATGTTCAAGCGCAGTGCTTTGTTCAACTATCAAACACAGACTGATGACGACATCAGCTTGTATAGTAGGAGCTTAATAGAATGAGAATTCTACAGCATTGCTATTTCCACAAAATTTAAAGCATGGCAATTCAAAGTGTCCAACAGAGTTTGTTAACCTAGGTGCCTCAGTTGAAAACAAAATTAAAAGATCTAAGTATCTAACAGATCTTAAAGGTTGTACCTGGAAATTACGAGCAGCTTGTGGGTCCCCAGGATTCTTGTCTGGATGCGTAGTCCTTGCCTAATAAAGAACGAGATATTAGTGCAAGTGAAGATGTCAAGGATAACTTACAGATTAACAAAAAAATATCAAGGCTAAGTTAAGGTTCCTTGCAAGCGTACACTAAAAAATAGCTCTAAGCTCATTCCAGGGAATTCCCTGACCTTTATACATTAGAATGTCTTGGAATCAGACACATATGCTAAGAATAATTGTCTTTTCATAAGTAGCCATTGATATATTACGGTTAACAACTAGTTAGTCATAGCACAAGTGTACTTGGTGAATCTAGCCTAGAATTTCAAGAAAATGATCCTTTCGCCTTTGGGCAAATATATAGACGCCATGTTGGGAATAAAAATGTAAAACACTAAGAAGAGCTACTTTTAGAATCGCATTTCCGTGCTGTATGACAATAGAAGTCCAAACCAGTTCAGATGGCAGAATATTGTGATAAACAGACCAAACAAATGCGCATAAAACAACAACCGTGCCACAATTCCAATCCGTGGCTGAATTCTCACCGTTCATGTCACTCCATTTAAGACCGTCTCAGTCCAATATTATACATTTATACTAATATTTAGTTTCTGTAGCACTACAAGTTTTCTACAAATTCTACTAGCATATAAATCTCTAACATGCCTAGAAGACAGCTAGCAAACACAGGACTTAAAATATATATACTAACATGACTAAAAGAAATGCACATCTAATTATCAAGTAGATATAAATATATCTAGAAGAAATGGTACGAGTGCATACTCAAAATTGAAATAGAACACCTTGAGTAATAAGCTAAAGCTAAATCACCTTTAAGTAGTAAGCTCTCTTAATTTCAGCAGGAGTTGCATTCACTCCTACCCCCAATAAGTCATAGTACACTGTGTCCTTCACCATTGCTAATCAAATGCAGTTCAATTGACTGCAACCTGAAATCAATCAACCTGGACCAGAAAACAAATTACTAACAATTACACTATTAATTCAGATACAAATATAAGGATGTACTCGGCTTGCAGCGCAAGACAACACAAGCTATACAATAAAAAATCCAACCAGCCACCAAATATTATAGCCCCGTAACATGATAAAGACATAAACCAAAACATGAAATGTGCTGTAGATACCAAAAAACACCAGAATCATATGGTGAATCTTGTTTCCTTTATTATTACACACATTTGGGGGGGGGGGGGGGAGGAGCTGAAAGAAACAAAATTTAGAATAGGGGTTACCAAACGGAACACGGAACTATCACAGGGGGAAAAAATCAGGAAAGAAGATAAAATTTGGCGAGAAACTCACAATGTTGCAATTTGATAAAAGGCTCAAACTTGGGACTGATTTTGCAGAAATGAGAAATCGTTGAATTGAATTGGGTCTAATCAATTGGAGCTGTATGAATCTAATAATAAATCTTGATGATATTTCAATTATATTTTGTGTATGAACATTCAGATGTGTGGCTGTGTTGCTTAAGCGCGTAAACCAATCGCCAATTCTCTGATAAATACAGAAACCTTAACCGCGGATTCTGCTAATAACCAAATTGATGCCTCATAAATTCTTGTTATATATTACGACAAAACAGATGTTTGATTCGTTAAAAGAATCTGTGCAAAACGTGGCTTTGATCTGCAACTACGACCGACGACCACGTGCAGAATGCGTGGGCCTCTGATGATTAAACGGTCCAGCCCCCTCTAATTGGTTGTGTTTAACACTTCTTTGTTTAAGAGAGTTTTTAACTCCGTAAATAGTGGTGTAAGAAAACATTTGCAAAAGGAATTTTGCGCAGTATAGCTACTTTTCAGGCCGATAAATATTTATCTATCTATCTATATCTATATTGTTATAAAAGCATGAATAAAATGTTGGATTACAAAAATAACCTTTTAATATTAAGTATAATAACTCACAATAAAAGGACATAATCGGAATTCTAGACATTAGCCTTGTAATCCTATTAGTTTTAGGACAAAATACTAGACGTTAGAATCCTATTCCTACATGATTACCTTTAGAAATTAGATTTTATTCTTTTTATTTTTTAAAACGATATTTTTCCAATGTTGGTTACTACTGAAATTCACATATAAAGAATGAAATTTACACTACGCAATGCGAGCACACTTCGTTTATGAAAAGTCCAAGAGTCTCCTTTACAGGACTTTTTATAAATGTCCAAAATTCACCTTCATATATTTAAATATTATTAAATAATTAAATAAGGTACATTTCAATTATTTAGAAGGTTCTTTCGTTAATTTAACTTTTAACTTTTGGGGTTCTCACTTTTATAATGGCTCATGATAGTTTAAATATTTATTTATTTGAATTATAAAATTTAATTAAGGAGAGAAATTTTATATATAATAATAAAACAATCATCTAAAGCATAATAACTCACAATAAAAGGACATAATCGGAATCCTACACATTAGCCTTGTAATCCTATTAGTTTTAGGACATAATATATACTACACGTTAAGAATCCTACATGATTACCTTTAGAAATCCCATTAGTATAATTATGTTCGGGCATAGATATAAAATACTACATATTAGCATGTAAATCTAATACCTTTAGGAACATGTTAGATTTTTTATTGATAAAATTATTTTTGGGATATGGACATATTTTTAGCCACGTAATCCTATTACTTTTATGATATACTTCTTTAAAAAATTATACTACTAATTTAATTTGAAAACGTATTATATTGTCCAAATTTATTTAGAAATGGGAGAGCCTATATTATTATAAAAGCACGAATATAATATTGATAGACCAAAATTGCGCTAAAATATTAAACAGAAGAACTCATAGGGAAAGGACATAGTTGTAATAACTTTTTTTTTGGGTTATAATAACTTCTATGTTAATATTTTTAATATTTAAGATTTTAAGATTAATACAATCTTGTCTATTGAATTCTTATTAAAAATATGTATGAAGGTTTAATAAGATCAATTTCATAAGAATCCTCCATATTAGTAATACATTACCAGTCTATAAAATTAAATACAAAAAAATTAGAATAAATGCTAAACGGACTGTATAAAGTGTTAAAATTGAGAGAAAAATTCCTACGGTAATATATCATTATATTATATTTGTACTGCTTTCCTATCAAATAATATTTTTTTATTATTACTTTTTTTTTTGTAATATAGAAAAATATACACAATTATTAAAGAACAACTAAGAATCTTTTTAGAAAATAAATGTGTGAGAGAAGAAAGAAAAAGGTTGGTAAGAGACAATACCACTAATGATTTTGAAACAAAAAGATCAAAAAGTGGAATGTCAGATCGATCTTCTTATTCTTAATAAAATTTATGGTGGATAAAATTATAATTACGGTTAAATATTCAAACATCAGATGAAATAATATTAAGAATCTAAATCAATAGAAAATAAATTATATATAATGTTAATACCAATTATTCAAATCTTTCAGTAAGAACAGATCCAACATTCAGTGACTTCTTGCTTCGTGTCGGAAACGAAGAAGGGCATCCAATAAAAGATGATTTGGTTCTTCTAGAACACTTGGTTATCAACCCCAAGTAATAGTAGTGCATTTAATAAGGAAAATATTTTCATCACTAGATTAAAACGCAATTTATGAGGATTACATAATAGAAATTAAAGAGCTATCTTAGCTAGCAGAAATGAATTTATTGATCAACTAAATAAAATGTTGATTGCTAAGTTTTATACTAAAAATAAAATATTTTTTGGTTTTGGCTCATCAAAAGATGATACCAACAATTACTACCAAGAAAAATACTTAAATACTTCAATACAAAATGACCTTCTACCGTACATTTTTATTGTCACGTTCATTATTTCTTACGTATATTAGTGTGACCATATATATAATAGACTAAGTTGAAATTGATCTTTTATTGCATATAGGTTGATTTTGAAAAAAAAAATATGCCCCTCATGCCTGAAAACTTAGATTCCTTGAATAGCTTATGTACGTACGGTATATAGAAGTTTTGACGATAACGTCATATATGTAGAACTTATGATACTGGTCAATTGCTTCTAAGTATGTGTTTATCCCTGAAGTCAACTTTCGTCTTCCGAAACTAAAGAATATCTTTCTAAATTTGAGTGAAAATAATTTTCAGTATGTTTGTGTTTGTAGTTATAATAAATAAACCACAAGGACAAACATCCTAAATATTGGGCTATATTTACTATAATATATTTTCTTATGTGAATAACTATATGTTGCACTTTCAAAAGAGATATCAATATCGACAACAAGAGTTTTGGTTATGGCAGAATAACCAAAGTATTATAAGGAAACATATACAAAAAACACTGTCTATAAAGAAGTGTTCGGTAGATACCATTACATTCGATACCTTTAAACTACAATACATAATTATCTACTTAGATCATTTATATGAGTTTTGATGATGTCCCTTCATTTGGAATTCACGAATTATGCTAATGTACTAATATTTTTCGGTATTTAGATGATTGTTGTAGTAATATATATAAAAAATTTCTCATTAATTAAATTTTATTATTCCTTCATCTAAATAAATATTTAAAATATTATGTGCCATTATTAACGTGCAACGGACGTTTATAGATACTAGTATATATGAAAATTTGGCATCCTATAACAACACATAACAAAAATTGGTAAATTTTTAGCCTCATATTAGATTTGGCAAAGATAGCCCCAAACAATTGGCTATAAATCTTAAAATAACTACTCTCTTTTATATTCTCTCTCGAAAAAAACAACACGCTTATTTTGGCTTCCCTCGCCCTTTCTTGCGGGAAGTGCACGGTTGGTCACTAATAACACATGTATTTACTTTTAAGCCACCGTTTAAAATATCTTTAGTCTTTAGCCACTGCTTTAATAAACTTTAACTGTCCGGACGAAAATACCCTTCTGCTCGTGTCCTTAACTTTTGTACTTAACTTCAGGACTTCAGGACTACATGTCCTTAACTTTTGAACTTGGAACTCTAAGTTCAGGATTTCAGGAATACATGTCCTTAACTTTTGAACTTGTAACTCTAAGTTCAGGATTTCAGGACTACATGTCCTTAACTTTTGAACTTGTAACTCTAAGTTCAGGACTTCAAGGCTACATGTCCTTAACTTTTGAACTTGGAACTCAAACTTCAGGACCAAGCGTCCTTAACTTTTGCACTTGTAAGTCAAAGTTAAGGACCTATTGTCCTTAACTTTTGAACTTGTAACTGTAAGTTAAGGACTGCTTGTCCTTAACTTTTGAACGTGTAACTGTAAGTTAAGGATTGTCTGTCCTTAACTTTTGAACTTGGAAATCAAAGTTAAGGACCTATTGTCCTTAATTTTTGAACTTGTAACTGTAAGTTAAGGACTGTCTATCCTTAACTTTTGAAGTTGTAACTATAAGTCAAGGACTGTCTGTCCTTAACTTTTGAACTTGTAACTATAAGTTAAGGACTGTCTGTCCTTAACTTTTGAACTTGTAACTGTAAGTTAAGGACTGCCTGTCCTTAACTTTTGAACTTGTAACTGTAAGTTAAGGACTGCCTGTCTATGCATTTTGTCTTTTAACTCTAAGTTCAGGACCAAGTACCTAACACAACCATGACTCTTTATGTCTTCTGCTATGCATTTTGTGTAACCCGATAACACCTCGAATTGCACTAATTGTATTTGCCTCGCCAAAAACATCAAGATTACAACTATCAAAATCATTATTAACAGCAAAAAGTAAAATATCTGGCCACTTTCATAACTCAATAAAAATGCTTCTAGAATCATTTAGGTGAAATTTAATGAAAAAAGGAATCATATAAGCAGGAACTGAAATACATGAGTAGTTTCAACAAAGAGATGAAATATTGTTAAGAAAGAGCATCCAAGGTTTTTAACGATTTGAAGTTTGGACATTGACGAGTAGCAGATTCAGAATATCTTTTTAGATCAAATTAGTTCCAGTATTTGCAGAAGACTGGATAGAGACTTTTATGTCAAACCCGGGCTTGATAGAGAGTTTGGGAAGGAAAAGAGATAGAAGAAAGGGTAACACAGTCTTTTCATATTAATTTTAATAGACTAGTGGCTATTATTGCTAAGCATTAAAAATGCTGGATAAAAAGTAAATACCAGCTTAAATAGTGGCTACCCCATACCATTTCTACCCCTTTCTCTCTTTGTATTTCTTCTTCTATCTCTTCTCTTTTGCTCTCATAGTTTAAAAATATTCTTGAAAATTATGCAAAAAAAATCAGTGGGATGAAAAGGTAAGGTTGATCTCACATCAGAGAAAATCAGAAGCAAAAACTAAGAGCGAAAAAATATATTTCAACTTTGTTTTTCTTCTATCTTCCTTTTTTAGGTTGGATTGAATGAGTGGGTGTGATTGGAATTGGTTGAAAATACCTAAACGAGGCTATATATAAAATTTGAGCAAGATTAGATAAAACTAAGAGAGAAAAAATATATTTCAACTTTTTTTTCTTCTCTCTTCCTTTTTTTGGTTGGAATGAATGAATGGGTGTGATTGAAAGTGGTTGAAAATACCTAAACGAGGCTATATAAAAAATTGAGCAAGATTAGAAGTGATTTAGACTGGTTTCAGGTAAAAAACT